GATACATTTTTGGTTGACCATAAACAACGGTAAAGCGATGTATTTACGCAGATGGTGGTTCCAATTCGGGAATAACCCAAAAAAGTAAGTGCTTGAATAAAGTACATTAACATAAAATTGATGTCTAGGTTATACTTCACCTACTCTTCCCTTATAAGGTAGCGCGCGCAGTAACGCCTTCCTGTAAATTGTCTAGTGATGATTTATTCAGAAAAATTCCACAACAAATTACATGTTACAAATTGTTCACATAGGCATCAAAAGAAGCGGTGGCTTGTCAGTTTGAATACCAAACATACAAAACATACACACACAGAATACAAGGAAACACATCAACATTTTAATTTTTAAATTTCCGGGGATCGCCCACATTAGCCGGCACCTCCCGGAAGGGGAAATGCCTCAGGAATCATCACGTCACAGTAATAATACCGTGCGCCCGCAGACACCAGGACATCTCCGACAGTGTACTGCCCCGGAAGGTGCCAGCGATCATGGATCAAGAAATGAAGAAATCAAAAAAGATAAATTTAAAAAAAAATGAGTTAAAGCAATGCAAGAAAAGTTTTCCTTAATAAATATCTAATATCATGTCTACGGACATTTTACTTGGTGCTAGTGTTTACCCTTCTTTCGTTTTAAATCGATTATCACCAACATATATCCACTTCATATATTGTCATCATAAATAAATCATAATAATCACTATTAACATTGAACATTGTAATTTAAATGATATTCTCTTTCCCTTTCCATAACTAAGGCTGGGTTCAACTATGGCGACGGTGAAAGAAATTTTGCGCTCCCTTACTCTAGAACAAGTAATATTCCTCTGCTGGTGAGTGAAAGTAATGTGGACGAGCCCGGCCTCTGGGTCTTCCACATCAGCGAGTCAGAGGTACAAGAGGGAGGGTGCAAGTTGTCAGGTAAATAACAAACTTTGCAGACACCATTTACATCCACGTTACTGTTAGTACTGATAAGACGGCTAGCTGGTGGTAGGCCCTACATGATAAAGGTGATGAAGACAACGTCGACGAGACGATGATGATGATGATGACGACGACGATGATGATGGTGATGGTTAATTTTCCTTCATTTTGTATTATTAATTTTTTTGTTGTTGCCAGGAACTGTAAGAACTTACCCAACCTACACTTCCATGATGGGGCATGATGACTTGTTTGTTACCGGTCCCTGCTTCGATAGTGACGACGATATTTGGGTTCGATATGGTCTTGAAGATGACCCAATTGGGTTTTCTAATTGCACCTACCTAACTAAAAACAAAGCGTGGTGTATCGTCCCCTCCTTCTTTCAGACAGGTCGCATTGATATTGCCGTGTCTTTTAATGACAGGGCCAGTTTTGACTATGTTGGAAAGTTTGATATAGGTAAGTTTTGATGTTAATATTGCTAGAATGATGTTATTTGTTTGATATAATTACATGTTTTGTTGTATTCATATTAGGCCTATCGATATGTATTGATTGATGTAAATAACACCCCTATCCCACTTTCGAATGAACCCTCCCCCATTAAAACAATTGTATTGCAATTCCAATGTAGCATAAGTGGTCTAGTTGGGTAAGGCAGAAGGTCTCGTATTCAAATCCGTGTGTGTAGAGCGGCAACTTTCACACTTCTAATTTGTCTTTACCGTCTTATATA